GTGTGAGTCATATTACCTTTACAAATGCATACCTCCATTTATATTCTATTATTTTTTTGGTTTCGAATCACTTACTCTCACGTGCAATATTTACGATAAACCTAATCACTGGTCCCCTCGGTGCCGACGACTACTGTAAGTTAAAACATACATTCCATCTTCCTTATTAATCTGAGGTTCACTCACAACAACAGAAACGTCTGGTGCATTGTTTTGAATAACTGTATACGCCAACTTCGTGCTGCAAAATGGATGTGAAAAATTGTAGACAGCTCCCCCAAAATGCATTAACCCCCGTCGTGATAACATGTAGCATTGGCATGTCAGTTACCCTGTAGAATTTATCCAAACTCTATGACTCGCTCAGGAAGAAACTGAACAAATACTGAGAGAAGTAATGCATTCATCATTACAAAATACATAATATTAAGTGATTGTGCGAGACAATAAGACAGGTCAATTCATTCTTTGGACGCGGGGCCTTCTGGCGAGGAAGCTGATCTACCAGAAATGGCTCTGTGGTGTCCTCAGCCGAGAAGAGGCTGGCCATGATACAGCGAAGGATTGCCGATGGGGAAGAAATGCCTTACGGGGCTTTCAATCTCACGTCCACGAAAGCATTGCCTTGTTAGTCACGGTTTGGTTTACTGGAAGTATTAACTACTCCCTCTGTTCCAAAATTGTTGTCCGAGTTTTGGGAGGGTTGACATGACTTCGAATAAAATACAGAGGTAATTTTCAAAGTCGGATGTCGTCTGCCTGGCAGCGTCTTTTCAAGCACTGATTGGTCTATTGGAACAAGCGCGCCAAGGGCTTCGTCCTAATGTACCCGAAACGCAAAACTTTAAGCTCTAAGGAGACTTTTTTCCATTTCAATAATCCCAATAGTTAAACCAGTATAAAACCAACATTCAAAAGACAAACATTCAGGAATGGGCGCGGGAAGGCGTGATCTGACACAGTCGGAGCGTGAGGCCATACTCCGTGAGATTCTCCTCAAGAGTACTGGCAACTTCATGCCAAAGCTACCAAAGGGATTTGGAGAAATTTGAAATTTGGTAATTTCTATCGTGACGACTCACTCTATTGTGTGATTGTGTCAATTATATTGAGAAAAGTCGAATTTCTTGAATTCTTTGACGGAGTAAGGGCCATAGCGCACATTCTTCTCCATGTATGAGGGTTTGTGACATTTGGTCGATCGCTTAGTATAACTGATGACGTCGAGTACATAGCATGTAATGCACGAAGCTGAGCTTCTAATGTGTTGCAGCTTTTGCCGATTATGGTTATGCGGAGATTTACCACTCACACACCACCATACATTGTAGAAGTATAGTACAATAACCTCTGTAATACAGTAGTATAAAAATTAAAAGGCCAAGTAATAATATTGCGGGAGGAGTACGCCATTTTTCTGAGTCGGACAACAATTTTGGAACAGAGGGAGTAGTTTAGAATGTACTAGTAGTACTTGGAACTTGGTCGCAACAACTTGCTCGCAGGGTTGACGTCAAAATTCCAAAATTTTGACCAATAACAACTCAGTCCGCGTCAGCTGAAAAATTTCATGTATATATAATTTCCATCAAAGCCAATGTCGAAATATTATTGACTTATACAAATTTCAAGATATTTCTCTAGCACCACGTGGGAAGGATTTCTGTCGTTCCCTGTAGCCTTCAGCTACAGGGGACAGCTTCGTTGAAAACCGGTAGGATGAGCACCTCATACTTTGTGTCCACGATTCGAACATAAATATTCCGCCAATGACATTGCGGTACATTGAAACTGCAATATGATAGATAATATTCTAGATAAATCAGACACTTCTTTGGTGGGCGTTGCATTCTGTCTTTCCCAGCATTGTCAATTTCATAAAATTAGTTGTGTAGGAATGATACTACCGATCTCATTATTGCGCGTGGGGTGATCGGTGGCCATATTGAAACGGACGAGTTGAACCTTTCATACGGGTCACATCTACAAACGGCAGGGTTGGCGAAGTCATGTGGCTCTTTTAGGTAAGTGAGCTGCTTAAGTTTAGTCTTGTCGGGGACCAGCCGTGGACGACTAGTTGTACTCGTTTCTGGACCCCTGCCAGCAAACACGACGAGTGTTTGTCAAACGCTTCATGTCGGGGTGATGGGCACTCTGAAGGCAAAGATGCTGTCCTATGGTTGCGTGAAAAAATTGCGAGTGATTTCAGTTGCGGAAAAGCGAGTGAAAATGATCGAATGTACCATCGTGGCATGGGAATCGATAAGCGAAGAAACGATCAATAACAACTTGTGTTGGCCGTCGAGAGAGTCTGATATTGGTCACGCAGGTTAATCCCAAAGTGACCAACCAACCACGGCCATGGCGACACTGTCATCTTCTGTGACAGTGTCGCCATAGCCGTGAACGGTCGAGCAAGTCTGGCTTGGCAGTGCTGGAAGAGTCACCCTTGCCCGGTCGATGCTATTGCATGGTAACTTACCACAATTTCTGTGGGGTGAAGCTGTCTCACATGCAGTATTTCTTACGAATACCCTGCCTTCCACCACGCTTGGTGGCGATACTCCATACTGTCTGTGGCATCAATGCCATCCAG